GTATACCTCTCAATTTTCTGAAGAGGTGCAGACATGTTTGCAGAAGTATTAATTATGCCATCTGGTAAGCCGTACACACCAGACTTTCTGGAGCATATTTCCATGTACACTTGTGTGCATTTTCCTAAGGAGGATCACTATACTGCTGTAACCACAACTTTCTAGAGGTTTCTGATTTAAATAACCACCTTCTCCCCTCTCTAGTTCAGTCATTACCAGTCGGAACTTCTGAACCCTCAGTGTCCCTATGCTTTTACCTGATTTTAGTATTTTGGTGACGGTTTAGCAGTAACAATGGTTGTCCGAAAGGGCCTTTATTCCACTGGGGTTTGTTGAGACCTTTGCAGTTTCCGCTTCCTCTGGTGTTGCCACATTGCAGATTTGGTCATAAATCAGTGCAGTTTTGCATGGTGAAGCCAGGTGTGGGTGGCAGCTGTCTACTGTACTGGGGTATAACTAAGGTGTCTTTTGGAGGTGAAAATCATTCATCTTTTTCTCCTATGAAAACTTGATTGCAAAAGCATAAAAAGATCTTTGTGCTGTTTGTAATTAAATTCAGGGTTTATTTCAGGTTCATAAATCTCCCCTTCTTGTTCGGTGAGGTTAACATTATTGCGAGCCTGTAACTCTTCTTTTAATTGCTTGAGATACATACCATTACCCTGCCTTCATGAACCCTATTGCTCAAATAAAAATTATTTGGGGAGCTTCATCTATTACAGATAAATGTCAAGGAAAAACTTTCCAGAAAATACTTGTGAAACCTGTTGTGTTTAATTTTTGTCTTAAGAGAATAAGAGCAATGTCTGTCTTCTCATTCTTTAGTTAATCTTAGTAGATAATGTTTCTTTATTTTTATTTAAGTGGTGATGACAGTTGAGAATGAAGAGCAAGACTAGTTGACCTGTTGTCTTCACTTTCAAGAAGATCCCTTGTAGTCACACATAGACCTCTTTCATTCAAAAGTTTAGTCTTCATTCTAGACAGAGTTGATTCCATCAGACAACTACATTTTTATTATTCTATTACTTACTCTGATTTGGTTCTCTTTTTTTTTCCTTTGTTTTTGTTTAAAAAAACACCAGCTTTTTCCTTGACAATCTCACTTTTCAAAAGAGTGTTCCCAAGAAGTATAATAATATGTGCTACTGTGCATGGACCTGAATAATTTAGAATTGGACCTTATATTTCTTAAAAACTCTGACCTTTGCAAGATCAGGGGAGGTCTTACAAGTGTACAGAAGTTCTGAGGAGAATGTGCAGAAAAGAGAGAGCAAGACTCTTCTCTTTGGCATCCCATGACAGAACAAGAGGCAGTGGGCACAAACTAAAAGATGTGAAATTCAGTCTGAAGACAAGTAAATGGCTTTTACTGAGATGATGGTCAAACACTGGAACCTGTTGCCCAGAGAGGTTGTGGAGTGTCCATCCTTGGAGATACAGGGAAGCCATCTGGACATGGTCTTGGGCAACTGCCTCTTGCTGGCACTGCTTGTGCCAGGGGGGTTGGACCAGATGACCTCCAGAGGTCCCTCCCAACCTCAACCATTCTGTGAAATCTCTCCCCAAGGAACATCTGCTCCATAGTACTTTCAGTTGGTATAGCAAGAGCAGCTGTTTCATGGAGTAATTCTGCCAAACATGTGCAAAATAATTTATGCTTCTCCTTTGCATTTCAAACGGAAAGAGCAGTCACATACATGACTTTTTTTAAAAGAAGAGGTTTGCCCAATTTTTGCAATAGCTTAAATGATTGCTGTTACTCTCCAAGGTTACTTGAGTGTATTCCTAATATACTGAAAACAGTGTGAATCAGTGAAGTACAATTTCAAAATCACATAGCAAACTGCGTTGGGGGGTGGGGAGAGGTCCACTACAGGACCTGTTCCAGATATGTCAGGTACTGGTACAATTTTACAGTTTATCCCTTTATTCATTCCACACTCTGGATTGTGATTTGAATTTGACACAGTCTTTAAAACTTCCATTCTTATTCCTGTCTACTTTCCTTTCCTCTTTGTTTTTTGTTGGGTTTGGTTTGTTTTGGTTTTTTTGCTTTGATCTGGCTGCACTACAAATTGAAAGCACAATCTGACTTTACAATCTAGAGAGAACAAAGTAAATACATGAGTGGCTAATATAAGTCACTTTTCCTTTTGTACAGTTATTTTGTGTGTCAAAGGCTGCTATGTAACTGAAAGGTCAGGCAATCCTTTCTTTCAGCTAGTATGATCCCTCTTCAGTACCTTATTTTCCAAACATTCATGAGACCTTAAGCGCTGTTGCTTAGATGCCTGTTGCTTGAGTTGCTCCCCCCCCCCATCATCTGGAGTTACAGCTGTGTTTTTAGTGAAATGTATGAATAGACATTGTCTGTGGGCCCTTCTGTGAAATTGTCCTTGCCTATCTAATTTGAATTCTCTCTGATGCTATAGGCAGTCTTTAAATAAAGATACTTGCACTGTGTAGGCTCCTGTTCTGAGCAGCCTTGTCAACTGAGCCAGTTTGCTGAATTTTGGCTATATATATATATATATTAAAAAAAAAATCTCCTCTTTGCCTCTTCTTAGTAAGGCTATTAAAGGAATTTTTGAGGAGGAGGAGGGTAAAGAATGTAAACATACTTTTTTAAAAGACCTGTTTATACTAGGGAGGCCTGAAAACTTAGCCTTTAGAAATAGTGGGAGAGCAATACATGTTATGCATAATTTTTCAGGAAGTTAAACTAATCAACAAAACTTCCAAGGTTTTGAAAATGGCTTTTATCCTGAATTGGGATGAAAATAATATTTGCAGGTGTGAAATCCCCTCATCTTTCAGAACTGGGAAGCTTTGAGAGCTGCACCGTCCTGGTGGGCCGGACAGCTGGGTTTCTGGGAGAAACCAGACAGAAAACCCACAGGGAAAGGTCATGTTTTCCTGTCAAATCTTTTTTTTCTTTGAAAGTTGAGCAAAATGTATGAAATCCTGCAAACACCCGGTTTTCTATCACCTGAGCAAAACCAGCGTTTTCAGACACGCACAGGAAAATCTTCTGCCAGCTCTGAAGGTAACCCTTGGCTTTTAGAGTAGGTGGGATTTAAATCCTGGTTAGCGATGGGAAGGTAGGAGTTAGGTGATCATTCATTTTGTACAACTTGTCATTTAAATCTGTTATCTAAGAAGCAACTGTCTGAACAAGTTGCAGAGTTTATTTCCTCTGCTGCTGCTGTTTATTTAAAAGGTTGCTTTGTGGGTAGCTATTTTAGTTCATGTTGCACACAGCTCATATTTTAAATAATAAAGAGATACCAAGTTCCTTTCATAGTACCCAATAATAGTTTCTCTGTTGCACAAATAATTAAGCAGCAGTTAACTTGCTCTTTTACCCCTTTACCTGACTGTAGTGTGCATTTGTGTAATTTCCACTCTTCTAACAGAATGAAAATGTTCACAGATAGCAGAATATGTAACCAAATACTTCTTTATCAAGCAGTAAGATAGACTGCTAACGTCATGTTGTAGATCATTTGTTTCCTGATGGTGACAGTACAGTCTGAGATGAGGTGATAACATTATGCTAATCTGTATGACAAGAGATTTGTCACAGGGCAAGAATAGTGTGGCTACAGAGTTCCTATAGGAAGGTGAACCTGAGCTCAGCATAGAGGAGCAACTCCTCTGCCCTCATCCCTCCGCAGAACAAAAGCACACCGAGAAAACAACAGGATTCCTTGAACATGCTTTGCAGTTTTTATATATAGGTAGAAGGAATGGCTCCCTTATGCTTGGTGCTAACTGAACACAGAGCACTAATATCGTATTGTCCGTCTTATTCCCTGACAGGATTTCCAGAATCCTTTCAAAATCTCTCCACCCCTATAAAAAGATGTGTGATTGTGTGTTACTTCTCGTACAACTACTTATTTGCATGTATAAATAACATTGTGCAGATTCTGGGAATGAGGAATATAAATTTGTAAAAGTGAACCAGGCAGGGGTGGTATGAATTTTAGATGCTTCCAGGTTAGGTTTAAATTAAGTTTATCTTCCATGTGGAAATACTGGGGTGGGGAACCCACCACCAAAACCCACACGTTTTGACATGGAGGTGCAGAACCTGTGTGGCTCCCCTCAGCAGTTACTGGCTGATGTTTTAAGCTCCTCAGGGGGATGCTGTTAATGACTTGTAAAACACAGTCTGTGCTACTGGTTTGATCCTTGATCAGCCATATGCAGTGAGCTGCAATCCCCAGATGTGTTCAGCAGTACTAGTTTATAACAGTCTTGACTCTCTTTCCCTTTGAAATAACGCTAACTTTGAGAAAGATGCTTGCATTTTGTGAAAAACTATAGAAGATAATTAAATTTTGGACACTGGGCTTGAAGCATGAACTGAATTGCCAGCAAGAGACTACTGAGGTTGGAGCAAGGGCATCAAAAATGATGGAGGGACTGGAGCATCTGTCACATGAGGGGTGACTGCAAGAGCTTCGTCTTGTTCAGCCTGAGGCAGAGAAGGCTCAGGGGGGGGTCTCATCAATGAGCATAAATACCCAGTGGGAGGGAATGAGGGAGCAGCAGCCAGGCTCTTCTCAGTGGTGCCCACTGACTGGGTAAGAAGCAGCGGTATAAAGTAAAACACATGATATTTCATTTGAATGCAAGAAAATGCTCTTTTTAATGTGAGGGTGCATAAAAACTGGAGCAGGTTGCCCAAAGAGGTTGTAAAGTCTCCTTCTGTGGAAATGCTAAAAATCTAGTATTGGGCAACCTGCCTCCAGCTGACCCTCCTTGAGCAGGGAGGTTGGATCAGAAGCTCCCAGGAAAGGGAGGTCCCTTTCAACTGATATGGTTCTGCAAAAGTTTTGTAGGTTTGTTCTCAACACTGTATTAACTTTCTAGTTACACAGATTGACTTCAGTTGTCTCAATATGTGATATGATTGTAAAACCGTATGAATATGAAGCATATCTAAGCAATTTGCCTTTTTTTTTTTTTTTTTTACCTCTCATTTCTAGGTTCTGGGAACGCCTACAAGGGAGCAAATTAGAGAAATGAATCCAAACTATACTGAATTCAAATTCCCTCAGATTAAGGCACATCCATGGACTAAGGTGAGTGTATATGAACTGAATAATAAAGACATGTGAGCTGAAAGTAAAAATTCAAGGAGTGCAGTTGTTCAGTGCCTTGGTGTCTTTCAGTCTAAAGTGGGTGCCTTTAACTGAGCTGGGACCTGGTAACTTTTGATGTAGATAAGGAAAAGAAGGTATACTGTAATATACACTGCAGTATCTATTGGTCTGGGGTTTTCTGAGGCTGTCTACAGCTGGGTTTGGTTTTTTTAACAATGGTGTGTGTGTGTTTAGAAGACTGCAATATATGTAAATCCTGTCATGCTATAAATTGATATGCGTAAAAGTTACCTACAAATGAGAAAGTGTTCCAGTGATACATATGACACTTTTGTAATGCTGTTACATAATATGATGAGGGCTGACAGTCACTTTCTTAACTGGTTCTCTCATGGAGGCTATTATGTTTGTACTCCTATAGATGTGCTGTTGGGGGGGGGTTGGTTTTTTTGGGGAGTTAACTTCTTAAGACGTACTGTTACCTAGCTTTTACATGCAGACAATACTGTAACCTCCATGATCAAAGAGGAAGCTGCTAGCATTGAAACAAATACATTGCCACACAGTTAAGCTGTTTTCCACATATCAAGGAATGATGTAATATTTGATTTTGGACAGGGTATCAATCAGTTAGCCTCTTGGGTGTGAAATAAGTTAAATATTGAGTCTTAAGCAATTGAAGCCTAGGTAGTTAACACTTTTTGCTGCTTGAGAAATGTCTGCTACAGTTGCAGCAGATTCTCATCATATCTTAATGGCTTAGGCTTCCTTCAGCTAAGAAAGTAGTGTGTGTGTGTGTGTGTGTGGAAGGATTGCATTCCTAGCTGAGCACATGTCCAGGTCTGACTTTTTTGGACCAAATGTTCTGTGGTGGTAGAAACTCTGGATAAACTAATTAGAGCAAATTGATAGCAGGCCATGTACCTGATAGGTACATGCTAGGCCAGACACTGTGAGTCACTATTTTCGTGATAGATTCTCCAATGAGTTATGCACCACTTGAATTCTCCTTTTCCCCACTAATCCCTGGCTTGCATTTTCATATCACAGTTTCTTTATGTGTGTTAGTTAAGTGATGTTTAATAGTATGAAAGGTCAGTAAATACAGCAAGGCTTTTTAATACCTTATGTTAACAGGGGAAAAAAATAGGGTAAATTAAATCCCTGGGAGTGGTCTCTTCAATTTTTGCATTGCATCATGGTAAAAGTCACAAGAGTAAGTCCAAAAGCCTTACAGCAGTGAATATTAGGGCCATATCTGAATTTCTGCAGCGAAGGTGTTTGGATTAGGGGGGGTTAAATTAATATGCAGTGAAGTAGGAGTGCAGAGATGTACTGTAGGACACAGTTAAGCATCTAAGCTAGCAATGCAATTCATCTTCTGCCTGGGAATCATCTGTATGCACTTGATAGTCCATTAGACCACAACAAAGATCTTCTGGCAAATGGAAGCTTCAAGAAAAAAACTGAGACTTCCTTCTATTTGTATGAATGGGGTTTTGGTCTTTCTAAAGGATCACAAGTGAAACTGAGTCATACAAAGAACTGAGAGGAACTTGTCAGAAGATTGAATCTGCATTCTTGATTAGGGCACAATTAGTTTTTGGAGAGCTGTGTTTGCAACATAGCTTCGCATTCTCAAGTCATTCTGCACACAACTCTTCCTGATATTGTCTGGGTGTAGAATAGCATGTAAACCAGTTTATTAAAATTGGGTTACATGGTACTTCATTTATGAGATCTGTACTCTTATACAAATGCTAAATTACCAAAATGGATTATCCAGCATGGTGTTGGTAATAATGTTCATCTCTCAATGTAATACTTCTAAAGATCCTTTTCTCTCAACATTTTGAGCATGTTGAGCCATGAAAGGTTTAAATGGTAGTATTATGTAGAATTGGTGTAACATCTGGTCGCACACATCTGATGGCACAGCAGGTGGCATGTGCATCCTTTTGGAGCATCCGTATCATAGAATTGAAAAGCGTGGGGAAAAAAAAAACCCTTCTGAACTCTGTCTGTCTAACGAGCAGAAAAGGAATGACTGAAGATATGAAAGTGCAAATGTATTTTTGTGATGATTGTGTATGTAACTAGAGTACTGCAGGTAGTTGCCAGCAGGACTTGAACTTCAAGTTTTAGCCTCAAAAGCACAAACCTTTGCCATCTAAACTAAAGAATTACGGAAGGTTACAATAGTTAGACCGTTGTTATTTTTGTAGACTAGTTATGACAAGCAGACAGAAGTTAAGGGGGTTTTGTGTGGAAGGACAGCTAGTTTTCATCATATTTGAGAGACATTTACTGAGAATATAGTCACTGCCTGCTATAAACTCTTTGACACAAGGGTGTTCTCCTTATTGCTTTTTGGTGTTTAATACAACATGGATATTTTTCAAAGTTGAGGGGTTTTAAGGTCCTACTTGGAGTTAATTTCATGGAGTGGAGATGCCCAGTGAAGGTGCATGTTTAGTTACTGTCTAGATGTTTAACCTCTTCTGTGGAGTCTGGAACTGGCTGCATCCAGACTAATAATCTGTACAAATCTAAGGTCCATGGTTCACTTCTGTTTTCAAGGAACTTGATCTGCAGGTCTTTGTAGATGGCAGTTAAGAATTTTCTTTGGAAGCTGTAGTACTGAGAGGTTGCAACTGAAATTCAGTGGTGTGGACTTCTGTCAGATTGTCCTGGTTTCTGCTCTGCTCTCTGGGTATTTCTGGCAGTCACAGATATGTTATTTTCCTGCTCAGTATCACTGTGATGGTGTAATCTACATTTGCTGTTACTTAGTAGGTGGAGAATAGTGGCTGGTGCTGTAGCAGAATGGAATAGGTTCTGGGTTTTTTTAAAGAACTGGAGAAACTGTTTGAGACTGAATAAGGATGAGTCCATGAAGGGATATTATTTTTCAGATTCATGCAGTTTCAGGCTTAGATTGGAATTTTGAGTAGAAGTCTTACGGCATTTTGAAGTCAACCTTCATAGGTTAGACTTCTCAGTAGAAATGGATTGATGTTATCCAAGTACAGTACTGATGCTCAATGTGATGTAGCAATATGAAGAAAGATCTCTATTTAACAAGGGTATTTCTTCATAGATTAGGAGGTAACACTCTAAAAAATACTTTTCTGTGCTGCAGCAATAATGCAAGTTTATAGTGCAAACTGTGACAGGTTTTTCGATCTGTTTGATATTGAATTACTTTTGTAATTTAAGAGCTGCAATCTCATATTATAAAATGTACAGAGGCATCTCTCTCTTCTCTCCAATATAGTTCTGTGTTGCCCAAGCACGTGTGTGTTTTTTATACCAGTTACGTGCATGATACAGATGATGATGGGAGTTCAGTGTGTCCCTGGCCAACAAAAGAAGAGAATCTGAATTTTCCAGGAATCTTTCAAACAGTTCTTCCAAAACAAGACTTACCATTTCTTCTCTGGCACCCCACTCCCACAACCCCAGCCCCAAGAGGAGGAATCTGGGACATTTTGGTTCTTTTGCAAGGGGGGTCCTCTTCATAATACTGGAGTGTTTCATTTAGTAAGGCAGCTGTTCTTTTCATCCAGACCTCCCTTTGTTTTCGCTTAGCATAGAATATACTGTATTCATGGAGGTGCATCCTACTGCTTGTCTGCCTTGGTCTGTGAGTGAGTAGCATTAAGTTAAAGAAAAGGAATGTTTTGCAGGGGTGGGAATTTCTTTTTACTGACTGATACAGTTGGAAAAAAATGGGTAGGCTTTTAGACAGACAGTCATGTTTCCAGGTTTATCTTAGGTCAGAAAACCTGTAGATTTTTTCCAACTGTATCAGCTCATCGAATAAAAGTTACTACCCTTTCTGGAGGCTTTGTTGCTGTTGTTTTCCCTAGGTCAAAACTTTCCTTCTGTGTCTTTCAACAATTCCTTGAGCCTTCTTTCTTCTTGGAAGTGCAGTCTGATCTCTGCTACTAATCTTTATACTTGTTTTCTTCTGACTAAGTTTCATCTATACTTTATAACTGTGTGACTAGAAAGCCAAGAAGAAAATGAGAGATCAAGTGCAAGGCTGTACATCACAGAGCTGTTGAAGTTCAACTTTGGCAATTGGCTTTCTCTGAAGCTTTCGACCCTTTGGGACAGAGGCAGGGACAGTGGGGTAACTGAGGAAAGGTCTAAACACATGCTTCATAAGCTTGCATTAGGCGTTGCTTACCGTGGCTCCATTACAGCTGGCCTTTATCCTAGCATTACTCAGATGCTACCTTCAGATCTTAAATCCTTGGGGTTATGAAAAACAAAGACAGTGCTGTGATTATTTCCAGAAATATGAAAAATGTCTGTCTGTGATGACGTGCCTTTCCCCTTGCATCCAGCTAGTAAAGGATCTCATTTGAGTGAAACTGTGGTAAATTTAATATAATTATGTAGTTTAGGCCTCTTCTGCATGGGGGAGATGACTCATTTGGATTCTTTCCCCCCCCAGGGAGACCTTCCATGTGTTTGCTGGTAATGGCAGTATAATGGACTGACTTATCTGTTGAGCTACAAGTGTGCCCATGGTTCATGATGGCATAACAACACAACAGCTTATAGCAGCAAAGACTGTTTTCTTTAGTCAAATCATAACCTCTGCCTTGTCTCCATTGTATAGACGTGGAAGCAGTTTCACTGCAGGCAGCTCTTTAAAATAGACAGTGTGTCTCTTCAGTGGTCTGTGGTTTAGTGGCCTTTGTCTCTCCTGTTCTGAAGATATGTGCAAGATTGTTTACATGTGCAAGCACTTTCTCAGAATGCAGTTGGTGAGATAAGTTTGAGTGTACTCAAAAGAATGGCTTTGTTCGCCATCCCCACATTTATAGCTAGCTGGTGTCTGAATCATAATTTCCAAGTCAGTGTTGAGATGGAAAAAGACAGGAGTCATTTGTCTAACAGAGAGAGAGAGAGAGAGAGAGAGAGAAACTGTCATGTCTAGATTGGTTTTGAATATCTCTGCCCTT